ATAAAACTCAGGGAAATAATTGATTACATATGATCTCTCTCTCTCTGTTTTCTAAAAGAAAGATCACAAAAAAAACCCAAAACCAAACAAAAAAAAACCCCAACCAACCAACCAAACAAAAAAAAACCCAACCAAAAATTGGCCAAAGAAGCATTGTGTAACGACCTTAATAATTCCTCTAACTCCACTGGTCTCATTTTAAAGTTATAAAAGATACGTGGATCTTTTCATGCCTATGGAAAAAGCCTATGAATCTACTTCTGCTCTTGTTTATTGTCACATGCCTTTAAGTAACAGTAACTGCATAAACTATATTGAAATGGTCTTGCTATATTGTTTTTAAAATAGAAGACTACTGCTCTTATAGGAATGCATTCATCCATCTAGTCTGTACTTTACACTAATAAAACTTAACTAGGTCCTACCATTTTCCCTGTTATCAGAATACACCTAAATACCATTGATCACCTACATCTATGAAGAGTCATTTGAATGACCATCCATGAAGTCCCTTAGAGACTTTTTCACAGCCAAACCATCTTTTCTCCTGTTATTAAAAAGATTAAAAGCTTCAAAAGGAATTTCTGATGTTTAAACTTGTATCTACCGTGACAGTAAAACTTAGCACCACAGTGACAGCTCTACTATAACTAAGACTGCGTACTTAGTCCTAAGAACTTGAACTGAAAGGCAGAAAGCTAGAAACTGCAATCTCACATAAGAAATTACCCTTATAAACAATCAGAGCTACAAGAACTTTTATTTCTCTGCCGAAGTAGCTTCATTTCCTGAACGCTCTATGAAAGAAAGTCTGTAGAGGTCTGTATCTTTATTAGCAGGTCTTTGATCTTTGACAATCAACTGAAAACTATCAAAATTCAAACAATTTTTCAATGTTTCATGGTTATAGTTAAGTACAAGTACTTTCTCAGTTTTATTCTTTCTTTATTAAGCAAGTTATACCGTCTGGAAAATACACATGGTCCTGTCCTGCCTTTGCCACTGCAAAACTGCAAAAGAAACATGTTTTTTTTCAGAGAAAAATCAAGAGTACATCTGTGTTTCCTAAATGGGATCAAAATTCATCTTTTTCTCACTGGATCTACATTTATTCTCTGACACCACAATGATCTCTAATATAATAGCTTACTCTGAAGGATAACAATGGAAATAGACTCCCAAGAAACATCGTCTTCTTCCTGAAAAACTACTAAGGAATGAGAAATTATAAGACATTTCATACCTTTCAAATGGGGAATACCACAGATTCTTAGAGCAGACGGAAATATTAAGTACTACCACTACACACAAAAAAGGCTTGCATCAGTTCTACAGCAGACAACAAATGAATTTCACTATTTATCAGATAACCAAACTACTCTATTCAAATTATTAGGTTTGCAGGGAAAACACAGCAACAGGCATGCTTATTTTCTGTTTAAGAGTAATTCTGAAATCACCTTAGGAAATAATTCTATATGGATCAACAAGGACACCTTCACCCAAGAGAATGTCATGAAAGGAAGAAATCCTCTTACCCTGGCTTAGCTACTTCCCTATTTTTTTGTTGGAAGCAACTGCAATCTAGTTTTTGCAAAAAGATGGAATAGTGCACAGGACTTTATGCCTCAAATAATAGTCCAAAAAGCATTTGGAGAACCAAGCTCAAGTTCTTGTTTGGAATTGAATCTACAACACTGAATTAACACAAAAGAAAATATTAAGTGAGTTCTCAGGCTAGGTATAGATTCCCACCAGTGCAAGGTTTCTGGGTAAACTGCTTCCTGGCTGGTAGACAGCAACCTCAGGCTACCCATGCACGTTATACAGTACAGTGTCCTAGTGTCCTCTACCGCCAGCCAACAAGTACATGGGAAACTGAACCAAGAGGCCTGCAGAATGGATGCACCCATCACAACTGACCTAGATGAAAGAGGACGATGCAAGAGTATTGTTAAAAGGACAGATGCTGAATGGATTTCTTCATATAACTGGAGAATATCTTGCTTCTGAAGAAAGGCTAAAAGTTATCTGCCTTTACGCTTACCACGACCAGGCAAAACATAAGTATATGCTGCCATTTGTCTTGGGATAAACAAGCAGGAATTTACCGTGGTAACAGGATTAAAGTCCAGCTGTAACATTAGAGTCTCATGATCTGCCATTTGTCAAAAGGTAGTGAGTCTTTGGCAACTGGTAATGACTTCTGTGGCCTGAACTGCAACGAGATGTGATTTTTGCATATTTGCTCTCTGACACATGCACATGACCACACTGGAGAACCCAGTTTCTTGATGGTCCCTTTATCAGTCAGCTGTCCCAGGTACAAAATATGTACAGTTGTCTCAGGTGAGTAATTATCCAGCCAATGCACTCATAAACACTATTGTAGCAGCAGAGAGTACGAAAGGAAAATTTATTTTTTTGCAATGGTGTGCATATACTGCTAACTTCACCCTTTTAAATAAGAATGTGTGGATAAAAGTGTTGAGTCTTCTCATGACGTATCAGTAACCTATCTAGGTTGGTTGCTCTAAACCCTTTATGTCTGAGATAAAAGGGAATGAGTTCTGGGGTTCCCAGGGCTAATGAAGAGTCAATTTCCTTCAAGACAGATTCATACAGGGTGGGTCTCCAAAAATACTCATAACTGGAGAGGAGTGGGACTTCTAGAGAACAGAAAGACAAACTGGATCAAGTAACTTGTGGTAAGTGTCTGAAACCCAGAATGATCCCTTGCCAAGCTTGACAGAAGAGAGCTAACAGAAGTGAGACATGGAGAAGCAGATGAAAGCAACTGAATGGGATATTTGCACCCTTTGAAAATGTTTTCAAGACTGCTGACAAGAAGACAATGAGGGGGTAAGAGCTGGCAATGACACCTGTAGTCTATGCCAGTGATGACAGTATCATCCCTTGTGTTCTTCTTGTTGCTGGAACAGATTCTGGGTGTGTAACACAAGAAGAGTGGCCACTGTACCAAGCCAAACAGGCAGATCTGCAACTTAGTCTAAGTAGCCATAAAAGATTCAAAGTAGGGTAAGAATGGTTCTGGAATCCTTAAGGGTAGATAACTGCTGAGTGTCCCTGCACTAAACACAAAGTAGATGTCAGAAATTGCCAAACAGGATAGGAACAACTTGCATACAAGTCTTCCTTGGAATCTATGGGATGGGATTCTGCAAAAGAGTGAGTATGTCTGCATAGCTAGAACAGCTGCTGACTCATCAAACAGCTGAAATGAACATACTTAACCAAACGAAATTATTTAGGTACTTCAAACCTGCAGTGTGAGTGCATGACCGCTCAGATTTCTCTTCACTGCTGAAACAATCAAGGAAGATGGAACCAGATGGGTGAAGAGAAAGTTAGTGTCTCCTAAGAATACTGAGGTTTCCTTTATAGTAGGAGAAAAATAATGTATCATAAGATCATGCTATGATCCAAAATGTTTTCATTAACTCTACATACCATATGAACTTATAACCAACTATTAGCAGTTTCCGTTTCCTCTCTGAGTGCAAATTGGAGGAGACTTCAAATCTGCCTTAAGAGATTTAGAAAGACTCTCAAACTCACAAACCTGACCATACAAAAATCTTCATTTTCAGCCAGCAGTACCCAGAAGGTGATGTGTACCAGTTTCCTTGGCATCCCTTAACTGTAAGGTTCAGAATAAAAAATGAAAGGCAATCTAAACTTGCTTGTGGAAATAGGCTCCAGGGCTTCTTGCTGCTACTCAGGATTCAATACTCCTGAAAATGATCAGGTAAAGAGCTGTGCTGAATCTAGTGCCTCCTTACCTCCTCCCTTTAAATGAAGGCACATTCTTCTTCAAAGATGATACATAGTAGAGATTTTCCGTTGGTGCTGAGCTGCTGCAAGAGGTGGGGAACCCCTTGAAGAATGCTTCTTAAACCTAATGGTAGGACTGAAGGGCCTGGTAAAACCCTTGAGGCTGACTAGAAAGTTGTCTCAGTACCAGGTGGGTACCATGTCAATTAGCAATCTTGAACGTTGACAAGAATGGAAATACAGGCTAATTTGGCATCCATAGAATTCTTGGAATTACGTAAAAATATAAAGCTGGCTTTCATGTCTATACTGGAATTGCATTTGGCAACCCCAGGGGAGAGACAGAATGACATTTCCAAGCACCACAATCAGTACTGTTGACTGAAGCCACACAGGACAAAACCACAGTTTTGAGAGTGCTTCCCTTGCTTCCCTTGCATCAGTGACAGAGCCATCAGCTCTAATACTGGAGCAGATCATTTGGGTGACTTGAGCTTCCAAAACAGATTCTCAAGTGGTGAAACCAGAGCTGCAAAGGGAACCAAAACAACGTCCTCGTGTCCATCTTTTTGTCTATCCTCAAGCAGTGTGATGTTTATCACTCTGAGTGCTAGCTAACGGTAAAGATGGTGTAGCACATTCTGGGATGCCACCTCTGCTTACATACTAGGAAACAGCTAAGTTTTGGTGCACACCTCAACCAGTTCTGAGGTTGATACACTCAACTGTTTTTATCAGAAATATCTAAAATTTCAACTCCGTCTCCCTGCAACTGGGGAGTTTGGATAAAACCCAGCATACTCAGTACCTTCCCATTCCCCCTCGCCTCCACCGAGGCTATATAAATGCTAGTTATACAGCTTAGTTAAGCAGGATCATATGTTCCAAGTGACAGACAGATGGAAGATTATTTTTGAAGAAATCATCAGAAGATAAAAACTTTAACAGAGGAAGGCAAACATGAGAAGGAAAATGTATATTAGAGGCCTTTTTAAACACTAAGCAGCACAGCATCAATATACATACAACCACCACAAAGAATAGTAGCACATACAATTCTGAATAACAACTGCATACTATTAATCAGGCAGACTGTCAGTTCTTCACTACAACAAACAGATTTCAGCATACAAACATCACAGTCTAAAATTAAATGAAAAAGAAACACTTTATACTGTATTACAAGAATATATTCTAAATCATACCTCGGGTGCCAGGTATTCTGGAGTACCACAAAATGTTTTCATAGTCGCTGCATCTGTGATTCCTTCTTTGCAAAGTCCAAAATCTGTAATTTTTATGTGTCCATCTTTATCCAACATTAGATTTTCTAACTGTGTGTTGGGAAAAAAATGTTCCCTTAGTATTTCTTAACAGGACATGCTGATGCATTACATCAATTGTGTAAAAAAGATACAGTTATTGCTTGCAGGAGAATGTAATCTGTTTGTAATTAAAAAAAAATTACAGCATCTATTATATTACAGCATTTAACAGTGTTTACTGTTATACAACTTAAATAATTATTTAATACTTTAATAAGGTTTACAATAGTAAATCCCAGCTCAATCAAAGTGTGACCTTTCATTCTGAAGTTTTACAAGCTTGGTGCATCTGTCATAGAAAGAAAGCAAAATAATTTTCTAAATATTCTCAAGATATAATCAAGTAATTCAAGGTCACAACCATGACTGTCATTGTCATTTGTTAAGACTTCACAGGTTTCCTTTGCTGTTACATGACCCTCATTTATCAAGATGCATTTTCCTTATTATACTGTCACGAAACAGTTAGCATTTATCTGTAAATTCTTAAAATATCCACATCTTCCACAACCTTTTCAATAATGGACAAAAGTGGGGGTAGAGAAGCTACTGATAAAACCAAAACCCTGAGGTAAATTCCTCCTTGTATACGTGGAAAGGCCACTGTTCTTGAATTGTGTGTGTGTACCTCTGCATGCTTTGCATTGCTTTTTAAATACATGATTCTTGCTTTGAAGTGTGAAAACAGAATAAAAACTATATGCAATATATATATATGCAATATTTACTGTGGACTATGACTGTCTCAAAAGCATGGCTAACATAACTTTCCCAAAAACTTTTTACTAGCAATACTTCAAACGCAGATAGAACTGAAAACAAGTAAAACTTACTTCTGAACAAATTTTCTCAACAGAAAAAGGGGGATTTTTTCTAATTATAAGGTGTGTAGTGAAAATACCAACAAAGCACAATCACAGCCCTGTCTTCCTAAGTCTGCATAAAGCCTGAAATACAATTCAAGGGTAAATATTTCCTGTTAACAGTCACACAAAGAAGATGCAAAGAAGATGATACCAACAATACAAGATTAATGACATCAAATGCCTCTTTCCTTATTTTTGAGAATTTAAATAAAGAATCATAACCCATCACTCCTTGACCAGACAATTCCATATTTTTCCAAGATGTCAAATCATTTCATGTTATTACAACAGATTCTGGGACAAACAAGTAACCCAGTAACCCATTTGCCTACCATTGCCTCTCAGTTCCTGGACAAAGTCATCCATGAATGACCTCCACTAGTGCGCACGTATAAAGGGAAAGCACAAACTCCCATACAAAAAACTGAAGGCTTGTCACAGAAATAAAATAGTCCTGTCCTGGAATTTAGAGGTTCCTCCCACATAAACTAGAAAATGTTGCTGTTGAAAGCAGAGGTTATTTTCCACAGAACACTGTCATACTGTGTCACAGAGTACCTGGAGCTTCAGGCAACAGAGGATACACAACTGCATACACAGGCAAGTGTAAGACAAACTACATTCCAGTATTATGAATCTCTCCCAAGATACAAAAGACAAAATCATTTTTAAATTAAGGCTGAAATTCTTTTCCTATTGAAATACTCTGAATTGTCTGAAATGTTTTCAAATCATACAAGAACATAACTCTTTGGTGAGATAAACAGACTGCAGTCACATTGTCCCAATTCCCCATTTCCCTTGTTTGGGGACACTGAGAATTGTATTTGAGATTTGTGTTGAAATCCAAGTTAAGTTCTAAGTAACGGGGGAAAAAAAAAAAAAGACGAGAAGTTTAAATCTCCTTCAAGTGCTACTACTAAGGTATGCTGTTTCTTTTTTTAAGCAAGTTAAAAGTCAAGTAAAGTACTCGTCTATAGATTACCGTATCAAACAGCTTCCTTCAGCATATATATAACTTTGAACACAGATTTTTTTCCCCATTAACTCTGAATAGTGCAACTTTATAATTACTTTGTGTTTGTCCCAATAGTCTCTGCAAAAAACAAAAATTTGATTACTTTTTTTTTTCCTTTTTTTACCTTGAGATCACGGTACACAATCTTCCCAGAATGCAGATAGTCCAGGGCAGAGACAATTTCTGCACCATAGAAGCGTGTGCGGTCCTCTGAGAACACCCGCTCTCTCGACAAATGGAAAAACAGCTGCAGGGTAAACAGCAGGGACAGGATTGTAATAATTACTGATTTAGTGGGGGAAATTAACACAAACATAAAACACCTCTCATCACCATATTGTGATGATAGATAGTGTACTCTCAGTGGACACTCAGCACTCTTAGACAGCAGCTGGCTTATCTTTTCCAGGTTTCCAAAGGGAGAAAGCGAGCTGTTAAATCAGCGTTTTAATCAATATACCAATCTTGTTTAAGGCATTCTGCTTGCTACTCATTTAACCTTCAGTTACCAGAGGAAAAACAAAAAAAAAAAAAAAAAGTATGCAGCAGCATCATTCTGTACTTTACTCCACCACTTCCTCGGATTTTTATTTTAAGGCACTGAGAAATATCATTTAAATACCAAGATTCTGGTTCTGCCTTAAGTTTTTCAGTAATTTTGTAACTTTTCTTTGAACTTAAAAAAGTCCAGTACTTTGGGAGACTTTGACTGAACAGGTAAACTGACAGTTTACAAAAACAGCACACTCATACCACTAGCCATATTACTAGAAAAAGCAAACCAACAACTGCTTAGGGCTTATAAAAATGAATCTATGTATTTAATGCATTTCTTTGCTACAACGGAAACATTTATTTGGGGTTCTTGTCTCTTTTTAAATACTTCATAAGTAACAGGATTTTGCAGACATTTTTACAACTGAAGTCTTTCAGTGAAAAATATTAGTCATTATGTATTGCCAGTAGCTTCAGCTGCAATGAAAAAGTGTAAGGTGACATTCTGTAAGGTTGTCAGCATCTTACTGGATAAAACATCACCCCCAGAACCTGGAACAACTAAAAGAACAGAATTTGGCTATTTAATTGAAATGCTCTCTAAAATTGCTAGGTTATTTACTGTTTCAAGAAAGCTTTGGAAAGTCTTTAAACAAAGATTAGAGTGTATGTTTCTGTAATCTGCTTCAGACCAAATGGGCCACCTGCCTTACTCCTTCAAGTTACAATGTTTCTGATTTTACCACAAGAACTAAAAATCAACAAAACAGAAATACAGAACATGTGTTCATTTCTAAATTAAATATACACAAGGAAATCCACAACAACAACATTTTTTTTTTTATTTTCACTGCTATAAATATTTAGTAGATGAGAATTCCAAAATGGCATGGTAGGTAAAAAAAAAAAAAAAAAAAAAAGACAACAAAAAAAACCCCACCCCACAACAAACCAAAACCAACCAACCAAAAACCCAATAATGCGCTTAATCTGTCACTACCACCTCCTACTTTACACCTATGTGGACTTTTCAAAATGTAATTAACAAGTCAATGCTATAAACATCTAGAAGTCAGCTTCTTTCCTGAAAGTTGGACTTCAAATAATGTCCATTATTTCTTCCGAGCCTAAACAAACTTCCCACTAAACTGAGCCTTTTGGCAGCATATATTTGTAAAGTAGAGGACTTCACAGAAAACAGGAACTGCAGTATGATTTAAACAGAATATTTCATTTTTGTTCATTGTATCTGCATTTCCCTTTCAATTTCTTTTTGAATTCTCAAGACACCCTATATAAAAATGGAATACCTGCATGACAAGAAGGATCATTATTTTGTAGATATTTCAATTGCTCTGCTGCTGTTTCCCTGTTTAAGCACCAATCCCTGGTAGTGCCATCAGCCCTACCTGTAGTAACCGGCATTCTGTACTAACGCTTATTTGCCAGTGTAAACACAAGACCTATACAGACTAAGCAACTAAGTCTGTCTTCATGAAGTGCCTCACATTTCATAAAGTTGGGAAGAGAATAAACATATTTCTCAATTCATGGAGTCTTTTCCACACATTTTTGCAAGACTTAAATAGGAATCAAACACCACTAAGTATATCTTCATCCAAATAAAGCAACAGACAACATTTATGTAATTTATGCATTTATGTCTGTTTTGTGGTCTCTTTTATAAATAATGAGCTAATGTCACTAATTTTTAAGTCATATTTCTTTTGATGGACTCAAAGTAATTCAATATAAAGGCCAACTTTCAGAGCACTTTTTAATGTGTACAAATACAAACACATTCCAAAAATTTATAATACAACCTCCAGTAAGGCCTATATTCATACCTCTGCAAAAAGACTATTCCAATTTTCTATATGAAAGAGACTAATCCCGTAGCTGAGCAGCGAAGTCTTAGAAAATTCTAAAACCTCAGGATACTTGTCAGCAACAGATGTATTAGTTTCCACAAAAACAAGAGTCCCAATTAGAATCTGAGAGTTGATAACCTCACAAGTTAACATAACAAAAATTTATTTTCTTTAGTGTTTATTTCCAACAAAATATTCTTGATATTCATTCAAAATACTAACTTCAAAATAAAATGACCAACTAGAAAAACTAGCGACAGTTCTGTGTTTGCCAAAGAGATTATGAGTTCCCAACTTTGTTTATTTTAACATTATATATGACATTACAGTCACCCTTCATAAGCATTCTACATATTATTATAGCACCTAGCAGAGTTGTCATCAAACCATACATGGCAGTCTTGAATTAAGAATGTACATTTATACATAAAAAATGCACGTTAAAAGTTAATTCATACACTCAGATATATGCTAAAGATACTAAAGGAAACTTTAAAATTGTAATAGAAAAATCTAGTTCAGTGAGATTACAGCATTATTTGCAGCTAATTATTTAGTTGCTTCACTGTTTTGGAAGAATTACACCACCGGGCTCTACTTATTGTCAGAACATGAAGATTAGATTTATTAAGTTAGAGAAGGAAAAGAAGAAATCTGATGGAAGGTTATGAAAAAAGCTTCCAACATTTGTACTATTTGTTGATTTACAGTTATTAAATATGTGCTATAAAGTCATTGGAATTGCAATAGAAATAGCTTTGGCACAAAGAAAGCCATTTTGCACATAACGTTTTTGATGGCATACATGAGGGTGCTATAGTTACAGGGAGGACTGGAGCTATAAATTTCCTGGTATGTCTATTTAAAAACTGAAAAAACAACATTGCCATGGGGTTTTTTCCTAATAAAAAATTTTAATGGAAAAAATTTAACAAATAAAACCAAAGATCAAACATCCAAGCATGCCAAATCTATAAAAGACCCAGCCTTATATCAATCAATATGTTACACTTCTACACATGCTAGTGACCTCTTTAGCATGTTGAAAGTTGTGTGACTGCCTCTTGCTGTTGTATATCGGGTTTGCTCAGCTCTGCCGTTAAACACATTTCGTATTTGACTGTTGCTTTGACTCTTCTGCAAAGCATTTGCAGTAGCAGCCTTGAAATTTAGAATTATTTGTTTATTGCTTCAGACTTTATAATGCTTCTAGGAACATTCTATACCCAAAGAAATATTGCACCCTTATTTTAGACTATCGTAATTTTAGGCTAAGGAACATTCTCTCACCTCCTTAAGAGTTTAGGAAAACAAAGCAGGGCACAACTGAGATAGAAATAACAAAGCTTACAACAATATTCAGTTATTTTTCATTAGGTACGTTGTAAATCCTCTGTCTTTTTTTCTAGACAGTAATAGTACTTAGAATCATAGAATCATAGAATGGGTTGGGTTGGAAAGGACCTTAAATATCATGTCATTCCACCCCCCTGCCATGGGCAGGGACACCTCCCACTAGACCAGGTTGCTCAAAGCCTCATCCAGCCTGGCCTTGAACCCCTCCAGGGATGGGGCATCCACAGCTTCTCTGGGCAACCTGTTCCAGTGCCTCACCACCCTCACAGTGAAAAATTTCTTCCTAATGTCTAGTCTAAATTTACCCTCTTTCAGCTTATACCCATTACCCCTTGTCCTGTCACTACACTCCCTGATACAGAGTGCCTCCCCATCTCTCCTGTAGCCCCCTTCAGGTACTGGAAGGCTGCTATAAAGTCTCCCTGGAGCCTTCTCTTCTCCAGGCTGAACAACCCCAATTCTCTCAGCCTGTCCTCATAGAGGAGGTGCTCCAGCCCTCTGACGAATTTCGTGACTCTCCTTCTGGACTCTCTCCAACAGGTCCAGGTCTTTTTTATGTTGGGGGCCCCATATTTGAACACAGTACTTGTTCAATTACAAGAAACCATTTAGTTCTCTCTTGCCTAATGAACTGAAGTAAGAGCTGTGGAAAACAAAATGCCAAATGGAACAGAGATTGAGAATTCTGGTGTGGAGAAACCATCTGAACAAATTTTAGAGTCTAATTTTATTATACAGATAATTACCAATTAAGTTTGTTACAAAGTACAGAATTTGGAATTCTACTGAAAGTGCAAAGCAAGGAAGTTAATCAACTTATTAGTCAGTTGAATCAGTGTACTCGGCAGAGTAATGTATATAACAGATCTCATTCCTACAGATTTTCAACATTTAAAACAAACACACACTACAAAAGTATTCCCCAGCAATAAAGAGTCATTCTTAGAACATAATTTTTTATACCACAGTTTATATCATTCTGTATGGTCTGGAAGTTGGGGGAACATTGTAATGTACTCCTAATGTACTGCAATCACATAGTACTCAAAATTATATGGGTTACAAAAAGAAGAGTAGGAAAATCAATACTAGCAGGAAAACCATCAATACAGCCTTACACTTCTTGTTTTCAAAATGTTAATAGCACAAGGACAACAGAAAATGTACAAAAATTAAGGGGCTTTCTTTTTGTTAAAGCAGGTCTATTTTCATCTATAAGTACTGACAGTTTTAATTATTTAAAAATATTTACATGAATATTCTATATTTTTTGAACCAAAGAACACAGTTTATCATGCAATACTCTATGTACTTTTTTAACACATACTCATATGCCTTTTCAAAGTCTTGATAATGGAACGTGGTAATCTCAACTAAGCCAGACTAATATTTTTTTCCTAAACTAAATTTCAATATCTTAATGCTACTTTAATGTAATTCCTTCAGTATAACAAAGGTATTGAGAAGTAATCACAATGTTAAAACTATCCTTCCAGTTCTATACTGCAAGACAGTTTATGATCAACAGACATTGATAAACAGTTCATCCAGAGTGTTCAACAGCAACACTAAAAAAAGTTACACTTTAAGCTCACAACAAAGATTTCAAGATTGGGCCCTTAAGTAGCAGAAAATTAACTGCAAAAGCTGTTTGAAAAACATATTCAATATTTCTGTCTGAATAATCTACTTGAAAAAACCTCTAAAGTTTTGCTTTAATATATTTAGCTACAGAATATTTTAGGGTTTTTTTAAATGGAAGTCAAAAGATAATTCAATGCAGTAATATTTTGTACATTGTGAAAAAGCACACACGTAGACCAGTAAAACTGATCCAGCTGCACTTTCATTGTAATGTGTTGCCTTATTAACTGAGCCTAACTTACTTGAAGTTATGTAGACGAGGTAAAGCAAACATAAATTGCTACTATTCTGGCAGGATACTAAATTCAACATGCATCTAGATTTTTAATGGGTATGGAAGATTCTTGTTTAGAATCATTTCTTTTCCTCCAGAATGAAATTCACTGACCCCTTCTCCTTGACCATTTTCCTTCCTAACCATAGGAAGAGGAACTGAAGATTCCTAGTACTGACTACGCTGATTATTACTGCAGTAGGGCAGAAGCCTAAATTGTGGCATTTTCCTGCTTTCACCTGGGCAAGACTCAGGAATATGGATACAAATTTCACAGGAAAATTTGCTAAGATTAAAGATTTTCCTATTAAAAAGGACAGTTTGTCCAACCTACTGTTCCAGACCTCTAGTCAGAGAGAAGCACATCAGCAAGTCAAGAGAGTTTCTTCAAAGAAAACTGCCTACTCTAAAAGGCCATTATTTCCCACTGTGGCAAAAATTTACAGTTAGTTTCACAGAAATAGGGAACCATACGCAAAGAACATGAGCAACCCTGACAAACAAGAGCATCATACCTGGAAAAAAACCTGACTGTTGGCAAAGTACCTTGCAATCATTCAAATCCCAGTAAGCAAAAGCAGGCTGCCACATGAGATGTTTGCAGCAGTCGCCACAGAGCTCCACCACCCAGCACAAAGGAATGCAAGACACACGTGTGATCAAAACAGAGCATCAAAGTTATCTTCAAACTTAAGAAAGCAAAATATTCCCTCTGGCCTCTGTTCTTCATTCGAATAGGCTAGAAAGGTGTCTTGTAAAACTGTAACTATGTAAATGACAGGCTGATGTAAGAAACATACTTTCAAAGTGCATCCCCGGAGATTACAGATATGCAACAAGGTCTTACACTGAGAAAATGAAGAAGAATTATCTAGTTTACAAGGTATCATAGAACAGAATCATAGAATAGTTTGAGCTGGAAGGGACCATGGAGGTCATCTACTCCAACCCCCCTGCAGTGAGCAGGGACATCTTCCACTAGATCAGGTTGCCCAGAGCCCCATCCAACCTGACCTTGAATGTTTCCAGGGATGGGGCATCTACCACCTCCTTGGGCAACCTGTTCCAGTATTTTACTTTTAAAACTCATTGTAGATAGCACTGACTTAATACTGGTGATGTAAGTTCAACATCAAATAAACCAGCTGAATGTCCAAGAGAATGTCTTTATCCCATTGCTGCAGAGGGACATTTTTGTGTCTAGTTCAACTAGTCAAAATGGTTCAACACCTGTGATGTTCAGGACCGGGTTTATATGCACTGAGTTAAACAAGTCATGATCCCATGTGAGAACCCTACAGCACCATGTTTTGCCATGGCTGGTAGAAGACAGCCATGGATGAGCTAGGATGGAAACGGGCCTCAGACTGGGCCCAGAAATCACCAGAGCAATGAATGCAAGGCAGGCCCTCTGGGGGTGCTCAGGCATTGGGGTTAGAGTCGAAGACAGTTTTATTGCAGGAGAATACAGCAGCAAAAGGATAATGTAAAATACGGTACCATGCTGCAACAACTCCTGAATGAAGAAAGTGGAAAACACTTTGTCCTTTAACATTATTATGCAGCATATAATAGTCAAAATAAGGAAAATCCCCTAGTTCATGCCGTAACCAGACACAGTCTGAATGGTCGACAGCACCAAAAAGGTAGATAAAAGCCCTCTTCTTAATGGGCACAGTTTTTGATATTCCATTCTTCAGTAAACAGCTGGAGGACAGCAACGGCTTAAAGGCTAACAACACTGGAAGAAGTTTAGCATTTAAGCTGAAATTTCCAGACTACACAGCAAGTGAAGGGGACAGAAGTAATGAAAAGTATGAACATTCCACTCTTCTCTCACAGGTATTTGCAACAGCTATAGCAAAGAAGAAAGCACATATTCACACTAGGACAAAAGCAAGACTAGTCAACATTATTTTTGCTTGTTTGCACTAGATTATGGCCATTTCATGCCACAACATGCTATAATATGCTTGAGGAAAAAACAATAAGTAAGCTATTTGTAATTATTTCTCTACCATGAAATTATCTTTCAAGATACAACAGTCTAATTTTTCACAAATAGGAACTACTTTTGACCGCATAGTTATAAAACAGGTCTACCTCTTTTTTAAATAAAACTATTTATTTTTTTTTAAAAAAAGCCCTTTAAAGATACTAGAAAGAAAAAAAAAAGACAGGAAAAATTACATCCTTTAAAGTGTAGCCTAGTGACAGCGTTACCATTACAAGCACAAAACATCTTTTTTAAACTTACCTCTCCTCCGTTAACATACTCCATCACAAAACACAAACGATCCTTTGTCTGGAAGGAGTATTTCAAGGACTTGCAAAGAAAACAGCAAAACCAAACCAATTATCATCTCATATTAACCAAATTTCTTGCACTTTAGCTGTAACAAAATTTAATTTTATCCTCTTAAACAGGCAATTCTGACTGTGTTAGAACTTTCAAAACTTTCAAAGTAATTAAAAGTGTAACTTCCTATCTGGAGCTTGAGACGAATTAACACAAAAACCTTCCTGTCTTTCCTCATCTCTGCCATGTGGCCATTGATATGAAAATGCCATTCTTATTATAATAAAATACTAAATAGCTGCTAAAATACACAATTTTGTGCTGCATTTCCTACTGTCATACACGGTACCTTTATGACGTCCACTTCCACAATGCCCATGAAGAGAGAGATTACCATATTCTTTTTAATTTCTCCCAAATAAAATCTTAAAAGTGATCTTAGCCTCCAGCCTGCTATCATTTCAAAGCAAGGTCTCTCTAATTTCACATACTATGCCATATAAAAACACTGAGTTCCAGATAAATATATTTATTTATCATTTTAAAATTCTAACAAATATTATTTTATTGAAAAATTTTGACTTAGCAGTGTTCAATTGATTTTCCTTGGAAAAAGTATAACAAATAAAATCTACAGTTGCAGGCTTGGCCTAAAAGAAACAAAATACAGTAGAACTACATGTAACAAAACCATAAGGAGACTCGTGACTTAAATACTGCATGTCTCCTTAAAATATTTGTTTAATAAATTCAGAAAGATATAAAGATACAACTGCAGTGACACTGCTGCATGATTTGATTGGAATTACACACCTATTCCTGCTTACCTTTATACTCTAATTTATGAAACTTTTGGAGATCCCATTTCTCTTGACTGAATTTCCAAGAATATTTTGGCCAAGCAATGAAATGTAATCCTCTGCTTTCTAATGGATTTGTTTATGATTTTCTAAACAGGAAAGCTTTCATGTTATACTTCGATATTTTAATACCAAAAAAACCCCACCCTATCTTAAAATACAACATGTTAATTATCTTTTGAAATCAAGGAAAAGATTTTCTAATATATTCTCAAAGGGAAGAAATCAGAATTACTTCTACAGAACAAAGTCAGTTGTAAAACTATTAATCATAATTTGTCAGGAATCTCAAAATTTTAATCTTTTTTTTCAATATTTTTATTCTATTAAATATTAACTATATGAAGATAAAGCTATTGAAGTAGTGGGGTTTGAGTTTTGTTGCTCCATGGGCTACTTATGTTGAACAAAGAGTTGTTTTGATCATTTTATTGAATTCTTAATTAAGTTTCCTTGGTAAAAATGACTTACTTCACACTATGTGAAATCAGTAACTTTTATTTTAAAAGTGTTCATATAGAAAAATTGCACAACAGCTACATTCTAAAATTAAATCTGTTTTCAGTGCTGTTAAGCTTCATCAAATTACTAGAAACTATTTCTGATCTCTTAAATACATATTCTGATAAAGGGCATCATAAGCACCAGATAGCTACTACTTGTTTACAAATCATCATGAGAAAGACTTCAAAGTTTGTTCATAAATATGTTCATAAATTATGTTCATAATGGAATACCCATCATGTTGAAAAGTACCTGCTAATGTACTTAAAACTAATTCCTAATACTTACTGTTAAAAAAGGGTGTCTGGTGTTTTTCAATACTCTGCTTTCTGTAAGCGTATGAGCCACTTCATCCTGAGAAATGAAGAGTAGAAGTAGGTCTGAATTAAGGTATAAAATTGTTATTTAATTAATTATGAGGAAAAGGTCAACACTTCAGAAAAGAGAAAGCTACAGTACAGTTTTGGAAAATGAATGAACCTGAAAGAAACATGAAAAATAATCTACATTTTTTGAGAAAATATTTTAAAGTTAATTTAAATTTAGCAAAATACAATTTTCTGTCTAGCCTATTTTTTTTCCTGTGAGGGTGGTGAGACACTGGAACAGGTTGCCCAGAGAAGTTGTGGATGCCCCATCCCTGGAGGGGTTCAAGGCCAGGCTGGATGAGGCTTTGAGCAACCTGGTCTAGTGGGAGGTGTCCCTGCCATGGCAGGGGGGTTGGATCTAGATGATCTTTAAACTTCCTTTCAATGCAAACCATTTCCATGAAACCTGCAGTTGACTTAGAAAAATACAGCTGACATTACTTAGGTAATGTACCCTACAATACACTTTTTCTTGTTTTGAACTTGGATTGCACTGTCTTCCTGCCCAGTGAACTCCCTCAATGCTTTAGCACACCCCAGATTGTGAGACACTGGAAAAAGGCATGCACAATGGGTACACATACTTTTTTTGTACTTTTGTTCTCTGAACATAAGTGTATCTCTGATACATACACATCAAACTCAGCTACCATCAAAAATCAAACACACCTTATGTATTAGATACTGATTATTCCACTCAAAAAAAAAAAAATGACCCAATATCAAAACTATAACCTTCTTTACCTTTGCAATGATGACTTCTTTTTTCAAAATCTTCATAGCATAGTATTTCCCACTAGCCTTCTCTCGGACCAGGATAACTTTGCCAAATGTGCCTTTGCCCAGTAGTTTTAAATAGTCAAAATCATTCATTGTCTATAAGGAGCAAAGAACAAGGATTAGCAAGACTTAGGCTATTCAGTTCCAACACGCACACAAGTGTGTCTGCCTGTAACCAAATGCTGTTACCAATATAATAAGAACAGTTTACAAAAATAGGTACACTTCTATGATGAAGTTCATAACAGTTAACTGTATCCTTAAACCACTAGGATATATTATTCAATACTACTATTATAGTTCTCTAAAGTCAAACACTTCACGGTATACTACACACACACATCTTTTTACAAAGCATACACAGAACAAAGTCTCAGCCTATACAAGCATTTTGTAAAAGCTCCACACCTAAGAAAGCTCATCAACTTGTGTATTACGAGGGACACAAGAATGTGGCATATCAGTAGGTTTTGTGTAACACCAACCATCGCAATGATGGTTTTTTTGAAAGATACATGATCCTCAGTGCAATATTGTATCACTAACACTCTATAATAGTCTTTGCATTAGAGGTGGACTTTTAAACATTTGAATACAGATTACAATTATATGGTTTTTACATTAATCAATCTGGCTCTGAAAAGGAAGAGGTAGCAAGTGCCTGTAGCAGGACAAGGGGTAATGGTTTTAACCTAAACGAGAAGAGGTTTAGACTAGATACAAGGAAGAAATATTTTACACTTAGGGTGGTATCACAGACATGGGTTTGATACTAAGGGTGGCAAGCCAGCCAAATTGAGGGACTCATTCTCCCAAAATTTGCTCACATAATGATTATCCAAGGAGTCACAAATCTAGCTGCAAGCTCAATGAAAGCAAGTTTAAAAATGCATGTTTACTTATAAGAGGAAGGTAATCGCTTTGCAAGATTTTGAGCCATGGTTTAACACCAGGTTATGGCTGTAGTGCTAGTTTTAAGAGTAAAGGCTCCTGATGCTTTCATTCTTTAGAAGTTCAGCAGAAGGCTTAGAGATGATATACAGTGCAGGGTAACTCAAGAAGTCTGCCAAAGAACACAAGACCTTGTGAGACAAAAACAGACGCCATAGCTAAGGGTGTACTGAAAACTGGTGGAAAAAATTGAAATACTTCCTCAACCTGAGGGATGTTGCTAAGCAAGTTTGGAGATTCCCATAAGATTGGATTATTTCACCTTGATTTTCCCACCTTTGTGATTCCTAACAAACTCTGAAGATTGAATATTTTTCCTCATTACATTACTTTTTGTTTTCCTCTGAAAAAAGTATTCTTCATTCATTCTGCACCCTGCAAGAAGCAGTGAAGCTACAGGAAACCACACTAACCAAAGAACCATATGATGTTCAGCCTTCTGTAAAGTCTATTTACACCCCTATGGATGATCTGTTCAAAAGAATACATCCTGCTACAGGCGTTGAAAATTCCTACCAAGGAAATAATTTTTAAAAATTCCTGATTTGCTCAAAGATTGTGTCACTTGGAGTTTTCATTTAACTTCATCAGGAAGAAACTCTGCCTACAAGGAATAGTACAGCAAGAAATAAAACCAGTTTGCTAAGAATTTCTAGTGCTCTGAATTTTACTGATGTTATTACTGTAAAACTCAAGTGGCACATAGACACTGTCAAAAAAAAAAAAAAAAAAAAAAGAAAAAAAAGTGCTTTTGGTTCTTCCAGGGACCAACCTGGCCAGGGACATTGCTGTCACATCTGTTCAAATCAAGTTCCACATCCTAAAGACTGTTTTCTTCGTAAACATTTTGCTATCTTTTTAGAGAAGAACAAGCCCACTCCTCTCTGTCTTGTTTCTTAATCTGATTATGCTCTTCCACTCATACGTATACCATCTGGTGCATGCACAAGCAAAATTCACTGGGCTTAGATGTAAAATCAGGTGACAAAACAAGCTTGTAGGACACATTGTGCAAAAAATCCCTGAAACGAAAATAAATCCAAAACCAAAAAAAAAGCAATAAAAATGCATTAAGTCATTATAACTGAAATGGCTCTGATTATATTCACAACTACAAAAGCTAAAACAGAAGCTTTTCAAGAAACATTCCTACAAAACAGAAACAGTTCTAAAAATATATATTTTTCCCAATTTCAATTAACACTGAGGGAGTGACAACTACCCATCATTATGGTCACGTAATACTTTTGATTCCAAAAACAACTGAGAACCTTTCACTAAAGTCTTCCAATAGTCAGAAATCTGCAGCGGGATTTTGAGTTTTGGCAAAAAAATATCCTTACCGTCATCAATATGCTCTTCACTGGCTACAGAAACTCCATTCCACTGTATTACTGGGTGTTGAATATCACCGTTTTTATTTCACCTTTGTTTTCTAGGATTTACTTTTGGCTTGTTGCCAAAGCCGTTAAACATTCTGTAGCACTGCACAATCACTGTCCCAGCATCTTATTTTAGCATTTCTTAAAGGATAAGCAGCAAGACGGAAACAAAACTGATCTTCTTCCTCCTCCTCCTGTTCCCACAACCCCTTTTGTTGTACGGGAAAATGCACTGCACTGTCAACAGGGAAAGCAGATAAACTACTTATGTGAGACAGCACTAATTTTGACACTTTGAAAATGCTTGTTGTTATGCAGTGGTTTTGTACTCCACTAAGAGGATACACAGGCTTGGAACAGTGCTCAGATCTTTAACAGAGCAGACCCAAATCCCTTCCACATAATCGCACTGCCGCTCAGAAAGACTGACACATCTCGAATGCTGCCTCTGTCTTGCTGTCACTTATCATATTTTACCCTGGAGCACAATCATCAAACATCTATACCACAAGGCTAAACGTTCAATGTCAACCTGACACAATGTACAATGAGAGTATTGTTACAGCTGTATATAACTACTTTTTACCTTTTCCTATAGCTGAAATAGGTTAGAGAATTGTACAGAATGAAACAACATGGAGGAACCATGTTTGCACTGCAAACTCAAGTTCTCAAAAGCTGGGATATGACAAAACTAAGATTTCCTACGACACCTTTGTTATATTCATAAAGGTATCGTTTTCACTGATTTTTCTGATTCTTGCTTCATATAGTGCAATGAACAAAACATGCCCTATGAGTAAAGGCTCATACATTCACCATTTCTTTTCATTGTTCATCATTCAAAGGCGTTCAGTTACATTAGCTATGAGACTATTTTGCTCAACAGACTTCCATTTAGTGTTCTACAGGTTTCACTTCTAGCTAGAAAGAATGAAGCCAGTCCTATAGAAACAGGTTATTATTTCTCATGCACTTTCAATGCATTTCCTGAGTCACATCAATCCTGTATAGTAAAGGAGAGACATCTGCTTGAATGACCCATTCTTCAAGAGTAGTCCATACTTACAGAAACACAGGACAAAATGAAAACATAAAATAATAAGCAAATTTTTGAGTAGAACTGAATCTTTAAAACACACTCTTAGTTGTGTGTTTATTCTGTTGACTCTGGAGATACAACACAAGAATGTTCTAGCCAACAATGTACCTATTCCTACTTACGCCAAAAGCTGTGAAGAACTGCAAAAGAATAAAACATTGTTTTCTCTTACTTCATTGAAAACTAAAGCAGAGTTATTTTCCCAGATAGCAAAAAACAAGGTCACTAAAAGCTAAATCCTGATAGCCTTTCTCATGCAAATTATCTAATTTGTACTGGGTATTATTTGCATGAGAAAGGGGGCAAATCTACTTATCTAAAGCAAATATTTTATTACCATACTTGTATGTTTGTATGTAAACAAACAAAAAGGAAAAGATGAAAATAATATTCAAACAATAGACAGAATGTTAACATGTGACTGAATGAATGAAGTTAGTTTTTCAGAAGTGCTGTATCAGATAGCAAAACAAATAAATAAAACTAGAGCAGTTCACCCTCACTGAAATAAAACAAATAAGCTCTTTTATGCTCTTAATATAGGAATACTATTCTCTGTATATTGTTTTACCCAACTAGACCATTCTAAAAAAGTTATTTACGTATTGTCAGTCATTTTTTAACGTCATTACCTTTCTTTTATGATGGGTTGTTGAAGCATCCATCTCTTCTTCTCCTATATTGTCTATCTGTGAAGTTGGACTACAGTTCATCCTCTCCTCTTCTTGCCTCTGAAGTCTGTCTGCCACAGCCTGGATTGCTTCTGTCCATTCTTCCCTATCATGAACAAGCCAACATCCCTATTAGAAACTCATAAAATACACCCAAACAAATGGTTTATAATGTTTTTCACATGCTACATTGCATCACTGTTCAATTCTCATATTAGACAGGAGAAGACTCATATAAACTAATCACTGCCATTTCCTTCCAAATTCTGCATTATGGTAAAGGTGGTGAAGTTGACCAGCATCCAAAAAGATCAGTGCATGGTTAATTTCAAGAATTACCAGTGTGTGATCTTGTAAATATTTTAATAGTGAGAACTTGAAAACACTTGCTCCAGCTATAATACAGCTCAGAGCACAGAATTTCATCTCTTATCCAATACTATCTGATAACAACTTGATATTTTAAGAGACTTTTTGGTATTCCTCCTCCCTGTGAGACATTTTCACAGTAAATAAATAAGATTTATTAAACCATGCCATGTGTTCAACTCTTTGTCTGTCCCCTCTTAAAACTCAACTTGTTGGCTAATTTCAAATCCCCCTGAGAAAGAGGCCCTCAAAGATAATTAAATTCCTACGAGCGTCATAAAAAGCAGCGGCTGCGCAGAGGGGCATGCCCAGACGAGGGTTCTGCGGAGGGACAAGCAGGGGCAGCTGAGCTCATGGCTATTCTGCACGCTGGCTAACCAGCACAAATACACCAGCTGGCCATCAGCACGCCACAGCCCCGCACCAAGCCCAGTACCTGCTGCTTTTACTCAGCCAGCAAGGGATACGGGAGGAGTCTGGTGGTATTAACGAATGCAGCAAGAGACACTATGCTGCCTACACAGAAGAAAGCTAGGGTGGAGAAACAGTACCAAGGTAGAATAAAAAAAAAAATTCTTAGTGAATATACTAATGAAAGAGAAACCACAGGAAAAGCAAATTTGTTGGTTTTTTATTGATGCAAACAATATGAATCACGATATTAGTCTGAACAGGACAGACGCCCACAGTGGGAAGACTCAGCATATCTAACCAGAGACACAGTATAGAACATTTTAGCAAGGTACACCATCCCATATCTCCTACATGCTTTTGGTGCATTAAAAAAATTGTTAATTCTTAATTTGTGTATATTTACCGAAACAAGAAAAACTAATAAGCAAACATAAATTAAATTACAACAAACAGACTGCTTTCTGTGCCAGAAAAAGGAGCAAATTAGGAGGAGTAAAAGGAAAATTTAAGACTTCAATTCAGGCTTCTGTTGTTCAAAATGTAACACTTTGGAGACATATCATGACATAGTTTTGGCTTATTTGAACACACTCATCCCACCTACTTGCAGGCAGCTCTTACACTAGCTATGAGCTCAGATAATATTTTACAGAAGCTGATTTAAAAATTCTTGCAATAACTGTTCAGATGTGCTTAGGATGTCACAGCTCCAAGTGCTGATTGCTGTGCAGTCCCAGCAGTGACTGTGCCGAGGCTTCTGCATAAAGAACACGGAAAGCAAAACAAAAATAAAACCCTCACCGTTCCTCCGGAGTGTCTACGTGGAACGTCCTCTCTATGACAGTGGTCCACTGAAGACATCTGATAATGAATGTGTTGGGCTTTGGTCGCTCTGTTTTCATTAGTTGGCATTCTAGAGAAATACATGACATTGTCTCTTTTATACACTCCCAGTTAATGGGTGAAGAGCAAATAATATTACTTAGATAAAAATACATATAGCTCATGTATACCTATACAGCATGTATCCAGCATGTATAAGGAAATACAGAATGGCAACGTAACCATAGGCTTGAACAGAAGGTAGGAAGTAATAATCACAAAGTGAAGAAAGCTATCAGAGGACTTGATGGAACTTGTATTATTGCTCATATAAAGAGTGCGATCTCCATTTGCAATCTAGGTCTGTGCTATAAGGGTAAGAAGAGTAGTAGATCCTGGATTACTGTAGCATGCCAAGGTAACAGCAGTAGCCACAGGCACATATTTCCATCTGTACCTGGCAGGAGGAATATGACATTTTCCCTTCAGTGGTAACCATGCCACAATTACCCACACTACTGTCACCTCAGGATTAGATTTATCGTAAAATACCCTCAGAAAATTCAAATGTTGAAACTAGTCTGATCATTAAATATAGAAAAACCCCACTCACCCCCAGTGGGGCTGCCCCAGGAAATCATCTAGTTTTCTTTGTGCCCCAGCGCAGAATCAGGTCTACCTATGCTATTTTTCCTAAGTATTTCTCTAAACTCTTTTTGCAATCCCTGAAAAGTAGTAATTTCAAAACCTCTGAAAGGAAACTATTCCATCCAATTATAAGGAAATTAAATATTTTTATAGTTGGAAGATTTTTCCCAGCATTTAATGCAATTGTTTGTATAATTTAAGCATATTGTTTCTTGTCCTATTGACTAATTTATTTTATCTTTTCAGCAGCTATCCCTTTTAGACATTTGAACACTATTTTATCTCTCTTCAGTACTCTCTGGCCTAAATCATTTCAACCAATCTGTCCTCAGAGGATGCCCTTTCAGATTCAAGATTTTCCTCCTCACACAATTCCAGACATACAGCAGACTGCCTACTACTCCTTTGTCACAAGACCACAACAATGACAATTCAGGCAATGGTTCAGTAAGACTGCATGTTAGATTTTATGATGCAGCATACTGCACTAAAATTACATCTGCAAAACACTGACCTACTAGAACTCTTTATTCATGCAAAGACATTTAAAGATTTTTGTGAAGTTATGGTGACTCTGTTAAAAGTATAACTTGTTTTCCTGCAAATAACCATATCCATACCACAAAATAGACACAAACATCACATCTCATCTTCTGGGATGCTACCACTTGTTCAAAGCTGATCCAGATCAAATGTGTGATCTAAAATGATTTATCAAGTTCACAAATCAATCAATAATGAATATGGCAATAGAATTCCTGTTCACTTACAACTCACTCTAACTTCCTTTTGCTAGAGCTACCATCTACCAGTTGTCCCACAGCTTTTATTAATGTAGCTGACTATTCTTCAGCATAAAACCTTGAACTTATTCTTGGTGAATAACATTTTATTTACTCCAGTTTACATCCATGCTTTGCAAAAGTCACATTATATGACACGTACCACCTCACAAGGCATGCTATTTTTTCACTGAAACAAATTATATTGGGCTGATGTACGTCTTCTTCACAAATTCAGGGTCCTGAAACCTCAACTATTATCCACAATTTTATAGGAATGTGTTCTAAATATTCTTCAAGGAATTGCATCAGACCCAGCGAATTCCTAAACACCCAACATACGTAAGTACCCTCTACCCTGTCTTTGCTTTCTCTTTTATGCCTTTGTTGCCAATGTTAATTGTAGAAGATGCAGACTTATAGCTGACTTTCTGAAATGCATACTGAAAATACATTAAAGCAATTCTCTTTAATAACACTAAGTCATAACAAGCTTAAAGCCTTAGTTTAAGGCATTGATTTGTGTGCCTGAATACCTAAACAATTTGGGACTCAATTGTCTACGACACAGCCACGATACAAAGCCACAGCAAATATCATCAGCCTTACTTGTACTGGACCATTCTTAACACAGGCACGAAAGAACTGGTATTAGGCAGGGGGTCTTTGTGAGGATGCCTTGATTTAAGAAGTTTCATCTATACTGTGGTTTTTGTTTTTTTTACTCAAAAAAGCAAAGAAGAGTGGAAGTGGATATGTCTGGCAATAGGATTTTTCTTCTGCAGCTTAGCAAAACATCTCAGAATCTTGACAGACACATGTATAAGAAAAAAGAGAGAACTAAAGTAAATATAGCACTATGCAGGTGTGTATTCCTTGACGCACTAACCTACATATTCACCATAGATCTATAAATTATTATGTAAGTCAGACTGCTCAGTGGTCAAGGAGATGACATTACACTTAACAAACCTGCATACAATGTGGAGCCTCCAAAGAGAAACAATAATCCAACCTCATTGCTTTTATAAACTCAGGTAGGTCTCAGACAGGATGAGAGCCATCCTCAACAGTTAGAGGAAAGAGCTACAGCAAGATGGACACAGGAAGAAGGAATTTAACACAAAACCTTGAAGAGAATCAAGGAGGACAGATGCAGATGATGGGAACTTGGGGAGCATGATGAAGCACAGCAGCTTAGGTTACTTAACCAGGCTTGCAGCTGGGTGCAGACATTACTCATGAGATCAAAGAAACCCCCATCTTCAGGGCTATGGTTGAAGTCCAAGTTATTATCATGATGACGGTGAGGCTAGGGGTTAACAGGCTATTTGTTTTCTTAACTTCCTCAGCTGCAGCTCTGAGGAATGTGTTGGGCCACCTTCATAACAGAGACTAGAAGCATTGTCTGCTCTAAGATTATCTCATCTTACTCCTGCCAAAACCATCCTCTCATCTTTAATCCTATCACACTTCAATCATGTAGGCTGAAATTTTCTTTGCTGGGTGTCTGCCTAAAGCTGCACACTGCTGGAAAATACTACTTTTTGAAGACTTAAAACTTGGCAAGCCAAGACCTTTGATATCCTTTTAGTATTCCTGTGAAAATGTAAGGCATCTGGCCACACTACATGTGGGAGGGATAAGAGTGCAGTGGAAGGAGGGTAAAAAATTACAATAACAACTACTAAAGCATAAAATCATTGAAAGTGTATGCATTGAGTATAATCCAGAGGCTAGAGCTGTCATCTGCCTCTACACCTGCTAAATGGAAAGCTCTTTCTCTTATATTCACAATGCCTCATCCTAGTCCTCAGACAATGTGAAAAAGAAACTACCTCGCTGAGGCAAAATCCAATACAGAAAGATGCCATACTGCAAGTTATTTAAAGAAGAGATGTCGGGAACAAAAGACTAGGGAATAAAAGGGGAAGAGTGGAAATGGGACAGGAAAAGGACTGGAACCTGTGTGAGAAATAAAAACTTGGGATAGCTAGAGTATAGCTAAACTAGAGTAGTTAGTTTAGGAGAAGGACGGTAAAAGAAGCTGCCAGGGACAGAAAAGTGAGGTGACCGTGTTAGGACAATCTGAAGGCAAAACAGTTCAGAGTCAAACCTGCAGAAATGTCTGTGCCAATTAAAAAGCACATTCTCTCCAGTGCCTGTTATGGAGCTGAAGATTTTGAATTTCACCATTCATTTTCTAATTGCAAATACATACAAAAATGCATATGTTAAAATTAGCATTAATTTAAGTTTGCCAACTGAAACACGCAAAACTTGGAACTAACAGAATTAAGTCTGCCTATGTCCAAATGCTATCTGTAATATGGTCTTTACCTATATATAGTATAATAAATATATTAGATAGATTAGTATGTACATGATGTAAATCCGTGTCTAATGTATTATTGGTACTATCTATATCAATTTTTTCAGACAGTCCTCAAAGCAATGATGTGTATTAACAAGAACAAAACATATGGATGCATATAATAAGCTCTGTAACAACCAAGGAGTATTTACTCTCGAGTTTTCATTACAGATGATTAACTAAATCAATTAAAGGTAATAAAAAAATACCTTGGCAATTGAAAATGGCACTGAAAACATAAAAAACCCACAAAAATATCATTTCACTATCACTGAAGGATGCTATTGAGAAACAGAATCTAGCAAAACTTAGTGAGCTTTTTTCTTAACATTCTGTGAAAAGTGGCTAAAGATTTAATCTGCTTGTGGAACACAATCACCAAAACTGAATGTGTTTGTATCCTTCCCTTCTGAAGCAAAAGAAGTTTCAGAAACAAGTGGAGGACCAACGTATTTCTGAAAGTGGTGTGCTACCCATCCAAGTAAAGGAACTGAAGTCTGCTGATACTTAGTACACCCACATGCTTCACGTGCTGCTGTATACAAATGTATGGGATAAGCAACATTCCTGTCATGAGTACAACATCAATAAAAACTTGTTTGTAAATGTCTTTCACCTACAGCTAGAAAAAAAAATTATTAAGATGACTAAGTGCTGTAATACACAGTTACTGCTAATTACCAAAATATTTTTCTACTAATTACTGGGAAAATCATAGTAGTCTTAGACAGAGAGAATAGTTTGGAAATTATAAAAGCACAGAAGAACAAGTGAAACTGGCTACTGAGAGCTGGCTCCAAATGCTCGAGTGATAGTTGGGTCATTACCAAGAGTAGAGAACACTCTACCATAATGTCTTCAAGTTTGCTACTATACATAAACATATGTAATTAAAGGGCTGAATCTCAGCTCAAAACAGTTGGAAGTCTAAATTATCATTCAAAAAAGATGAGTAAGCCAGTAAACAGACAGACTCAACTTTGTGTTCTTGTATGCTAGCCATCTACAACTTGGAATTACACATTTTAATCCTAAAGCTTTCTGTCTTGCTGGGATTAAACATCGGTCACGAGAATTTTCCCTTTTAATATTAGAGGGGATGAAAACCTTGGGGGAGAACACTTGTTTGAAGCAGCAAAATACAAAATCAGTAACAGAAATTGACTATTCTGTTCCAACAAGTCTGTATCACTCATTTAGCCATTTTTGGATCTATAAAGAAAATGGAAAAAATGAAATAAAACCAGTATACAGAATTGCCACGGATGTTTCTCAAGTATTGAACTT